GTCTTCAATCAGGACAACCAGGTGGCTTGTCCATATTTGTGTGTATCTATTACCTTGTTATGCAAACAATTTTTTCATATTCAATTATGTCAACACATCATAATATAAATACCATGTAATATAAATGAGTTTAGGTCATGAATATGAGTATACTTATTGTAACTTAAACTCTAAATTAACCAAAATAGTTGAAAGGGCATGCGTAAATCTTTGTTTTATAAAATCAACCTCAGCACAGGCTGACCACATTGACACACACATACACTCATACACACAGGCAGGCACGCACGCGCGCACACGCGCGCGCGCACACACACACACACACACGGCACAGGCTGATGGCACTGACACAAATGCACAGGCACATATACACAGAGTACAGGCTGGTGGCACTAACACATACATTCACACACACCAAAAAAATAAAACAGCCAGGTTATTTCAGTCACAGGGAGCACTGGTGGTCTTTGGTGGCTGAGTCAGATGACCTTTTATGACAACACGTACATGCAGGCTGCATTGTCAACGGTCTCCTAAGTGAAGCCCTCTCAGCTCTCGTCTAGATCCATGTAAGACATGAAAAAAATAGAGAAGAGGCCAGCACTGAGCATGCTATGCACACAGGAGACTGGGGGAAGGTGTCATGGGGAGTTGGCAGGTTGACAAGAGCCCTCCTGAGACAGACTCAAATTAGCCAGTCTAGGAGCCCAGACAGCCCTTGCTGCTCCTCATTACACACATGCAGCACAACACCCAGGAGGCACTCCAGGCTGGTTTTACTCATCAACTTGTGGAGATCATCAGGGAAGACTTCACCCACTCAGAGAGAGGGAAGTCCAGAAATAACAGTCTGGGCTAAAAAGAGAAACATCTTTCTAGCTTGTGTGCCAACATGTGTACCCACTTTTACTGTTTCTCTTAAGTAATCACCCAGTTTCTTCACAGGGGCAGACAGACACAACCAGAGTTGACTGGGCTACAGCTTCATAGAGAAACACTCAGCTGGCTGCTCCTTTGCAGAAAGATGTGTGATGATATTAACACATCACTGTTCACCTCTCTGTTTTATATGTCATGAGTTTGTATAGAGCGCCATCAGAAAAAGCAAGCAATCCCCAAATGCAACACTGCTATTTATACATGGTAGAAATAATATCAAAGGTGACTGATTTTCTCCTTTTCATATACATGCTGGTTCTTTTCTTGACATAAAACATATACCACTAATGAACTGTTATGTAATTGGACAACATGTGTTGGTGCATGATTTGCAGAATCCAAACACTTGGTAGATGGAGGCAGGAAGGCCATGTGTTCAAAGATGGTTTGTTCTATAAACACAGCTAAAACAATTATCTTTGTCTTTGCTATCTGAAATATAGGCAACAGTTCCCACTGTGTAACATATTGTTCGCAGTACTAGAGTGACCTCCAATCACCAGATTTGTGGAAAATGAAACAACAATGCTCAACAGAAAGAGCAGGATCCAAGAGAAACCAAGTGAACTCAGAGGGCAATTACCCACAGGATGACAGTTTTCTCAAAGTAAGGTAGATGGCAAAGGTGGCTAAGGAAGCTACAGATAGATGGAACAACAAAGCAAACAAACAAAACCTCTATACACCTGCTTGATTCTGACAGCACTGAAATGATCTGTGCTCCTGGGGGTTTAATACCATTTGAGAGTTTGAAATAAGAGTCTGAAGTATTCACACGGCACAATAGAAAAGAGCAACCGCCGTCATCGTGTTGTGGCTCTACTTAGCAATGTAATTAAAAATAACAACGCCCAGAAAGAATGCACAGTGGGCAGCACACGACAAATTTTTAATTATCGTTATGGCCAATATTTAACATCTAGAATAATATGAGGAATTTAGTCATCTTTCAAGTTTCTTTTAGATGGCACACTTTAGGTGCGTTCACAAGCATCCTTCCCACTCAGACTACTACAAAGCAGTCATGCGGGGCTAGAGGAAAGAGACACAGTCCAAAGGGCGAGGAGGATAACGGACGTAGAACACAAAGGGGAATGAGAGAGCACAGCTCTGGAGTTCTCCCTAGACTTGGAGAAAGTGACGATAAAATCTTATATCTGAAATGTGGAGATTTCAAGCTAAAATATTTCAATTCCAACTTATTTTCTACTTTTGAGAACACAGTTATAAGTTAATCTAAGTATGTGTGGACTCCTTATATAGAGCATACAGGGGAGGTAGGTTTAAAATACTCCTGCTGCCTCAAGCTGTTCTGCTTAAACTGCTAAGACAGAATGGCATATGAATTGAATCTTGGCTCCTTTTATTAAAAGATTTGCTTACATATGTATGTATGTGTGTATTTACATGGTTTTGTCTGCACATTTGCACACCAGAGGGCATTGGATCCCATGGAATTATGGTTATAGACAGACTTCAATTATAGGACAGTTGTGAGTGCCATGTGAGTGCTGGGAATTGAACTCAGGACCTCTGGAAGAGCAGCTAAGTGTTCTTAGCTACTGTTCCTTCTCCCCAACACCACATCTTGATTCAGCTTTTGATCCAGTTTTAAGAAGCCTTCCCATGATGACCATGATGTAGATAAAGTGAGCCTTTATATGGTGACTAACAGCCTAAAAACTGAATTTATACTGCATTTAGGTTTCTTTGTTTACTTTTCCTTTTTGGTTTTACAAGACAAGGTCTGTCTGTGTAGCCATGGCTGTCCTGGAACTCAGTCTGTAGACCAGGCTAGCCTTGAACTCACAGAGATCCACCTGCCTCTGCTAGATTAAAGGTGTGTGCTACCACTGCCCAGATACTTTTGGCATTTAGTTTTAATTAATGCGAACATAAAAACCACACAGGGTTAGTGGCCAGCCTACCACACAGTGCCCTCAGTTGGGAATGGCTGCCCCACAGCACCAACATCTAATGTGGTTCTGGGTCTGCCAGGATAGCACGCTATGACAGAGTGGAGATTCCTATTCTGGAATAGGAAGGGACAGGCTATCTGCAGGCTCAAGTTCAATAACTTTCTTCTTACAACCAAAGAGACCCTCTCTTGCTACCTGCATTGTCTCTTGGGGACCAAAATGTTCATTTTGACTCCTATAAGAAGTGTTACTGAAAAGAATCAGATTATAGTGGAATAAAAACTAAAAGATAATTCCACCCAAGAAAATGCCAACTTCTCATAGATCTATAAAAGTGAATGAGAGTGTTAAGCTATTCATTATGCTAAGCTATGTAGTAGGCCTCTGTCCACTTGACACAAACATAAACATATCTGGGGAAAGGGAATCTTTCTTAAACTGTTATTATTATTTTAAGTATATGGGTGGTTATGCCTATATGTATGTGCACCATATGTGTGCTTGGCAACTGAAGGCTAGAAGGCAGCACTGGATACCCTGGAAGTGGAGTTACAGACCATTGTGGGTCGTCATGTGGCTCCTGGGAACTGAACCATGGTCCTCTGGATGAACAGTCAGTGCTCTTAACTCCAGCACCTGAAGAGGAAACCTTAGGCAAATCTGTTGAGTATTATCTTCATTAATGACTGATGGAGGGCCCATCTCGGACAATTGGTCCTGAGTTGTGTCAGAAAGCAAGATGAGCAAACCATGAGGAGAGCAAACCAGTGAACACTATTCCTCTAAGGCCTGTGCTTCCTTCCCTGCCTTGGGGTTCCTGTCTCAAGTCCCTGTCCTGACTTCCCTAGGGATGGGCTATAAGTTATAAGATGAAATAAACCCTCTTCCATCCTCAAGTTGCCTTTGGTCACAGGGTTTTATCACGACACTAAAAACCCTAACTTCAGTAATACTAGAGGTGTGTCACAGTCTTGTCATTAAGATGACTCAGTAAATAAGAAACAAGATTCACAGACAAGGTAAGTCACATAATCCCTGGTTTGGATATACAAAATAAACCAAAATCACTGAAAAGTAAAGCTGGATGGAAATGATGCATTCCCCCATCACTTGGGGAAACACTGTGCTTCACTTTCTCAGAGAAAGTAAAGTGTCACCATGCAGTAATATCTTAGCCAAGTGTGGGTGATTCCAAATGTCACAGAAAATATGTCATACAACCTGACCATCAGGTAAAAAATAGGAACATATATTCACATCTCCATGTCCCAAAGTAAGTTCCTAAGGAAGACTATGCCAAACTCTCATTAACAGTTGGTTCCAAGGTGATCCTCATAGCCAAGCTGAGAATCATTTTGAGATATCCTTTGGAGTTCACATGTGTATGCCCCAAATGACAGGAAGTTGGTATAAGCAACCATTTCTATTCCAGATCCTTAAGTCTAAAAGGGCTCTGGAAAAGTCCAAGTCTCTTTCAAATGCTACCACGCCCAAAGATGTCAGTCCATGCTTGGATTCAACTGTTCTGAATGAACATATTACAGTAGTTATTTGTACAACTCTACTGTAAAGAATTCTCATCAACAAACTCAGTAAGCCAATAAATTTAAAGTGGTGTGATTTCCTACTTTACTGGAATGCCATATAGAGTTGTGTACTACACATGAGTACCTTGGAACTGCAGTGGTCCCCTAAAATTGTACAACTAAATGATACTGTACCTACATTGCTTGGCATAAGTCATTCTATGACAGTTGCAAAGCAGCAAAATTACGTCTCGATGCATTTCTCAGACAATTTCTTGTCATTAAGCTGTACAACATGACTGCCTATCAACTCAGCTTAGGATTTTCATCTTATTTTGTTCAAAGACCAAATGACCTTTATAAGACAAGTAGATTTCCAAAGACAACACAGCATTCTAGTGAGCACAGGTAACCAGAAAGCTGCCAACCGTTACATATCTAAATTATATAGTTTAAGAGAATCTCTCCATATGGAAACAAAACAAAAGAACTCTCCTTGTTTGTCCTCCCGAAGACTAGTGCCATAAATAAATAAATACATAAATAAATGAATACATACATACATACATACATGCATACACACACACACCATGAATTCACAAGCCTCTTTTCTTACCTCCACTACTGTGGTTTCTGCAGCTTTGCACATTGGCAAATTGAAGTTTCTTGCACTTTTCCTGTATCAGACAAGGAGAGAAGAGGGAGAAAGATCAAAGACAAGATTCATGTCTTTCACCTTGAAAATGCAGAGTGAAAGATTGTCTACCCAGGATGTATGGACCTGAGATTGCATGACTTATACCTATCTTTAAAACTTAGAAGCCCTTGTGGCCATTTCATTCAATTTCTATGGTTTTTAGAGTAGATGGGAGGAAAGGCTCTTTTTCATGCTCAATCAATAGCTTCTATGCAGAAAAATAAAATGGCTATTCATAAATATCTGAAATTAAATTCTCCTAATATTTTAACCAAGATTAAACTTTGCTGCCATAGTTAAACATTTCACTGAGAAACTTTGAAAGAAAAAAAGAAAGAGTTATGGATGCAGCTTGGTGATTAAGCATGCACCAGGCCCCGGGCTCCAACTCCAGCACCACAAAGGAGAAGGGTATAAGGACAATGTACTTCACAGGAGAGGGTTCAGTCTTTCCTACTAAACTTTCTAACTAAAAAGAAGCTTCCACTAGCTGACAGTATCTGAAACACTCACAGGTGCTGTGAGTCCATCCAACAGCCATTTGGGAGAATAGTTTTGTGTCGTATGGACCAGCTATCCCAGTGACTATGAATGAGATTTGTATTCTGAGAATCTAGACCACTTGTCCAATGGGCTGAGAGCTTTCACTTCAGACCACCCCTCAGTGACCATCAGCACCTACATATGGTCAGAGTTTAAGTGAAGTGTTCAGACACCACAGGCAGGCATCAGAGCCCAGGAAGAAATTCCACGTATACTTTAAGTAACTGATACTTGCTGTATAACTTCATTCATCTGTTTTATAAAGTATCAGAAATTTGCAAACATCACACCAATGGTCAAAGAAAGCAGGCAGTGTGTGAGTCTGCCTAAAATTTCCAAGAGTAGTTGCAAATCAAAAACCTACAATTAAAGAAATTGTAGCATTAATATCATATTAAGCCCTTCAAAAATAAATAAAAACAATGCAAGTTTTCCTGAGAATTTGACTTTGATTGAGGCCAAACTACATTTGTTAAGAATAATATTTTTAAATCCTTTATTAAAAGCAGCAAATTACAAAATGATGATAAAAATGATTTCTATAATAGATCATGAAGCTCACCTCTTACATATGTAGCCTAAGTGGCCCAACTTTCAAAACACAACTATCTAATCTACAAATCTAAGACATTAAATACTTATAATTACTTAGAGTTTAGTATGCAGAGGTTACTCAAAAGACAGGAAAATCATGTAGGTCTGTGGCTACCCAGATAATGAAAGCAAGAAGAGCTCCACATCTGTGAAGATAATTAGCTCTCCAGATAGAACATTCAGAAGGCTTTCCTGGGAGACATTAGCCACACAAGAAAAGAACTCACCTAAATTATTATTAGCAATTTTCCCCAAAATATCGGAGCAATTTTAACATTTTAAGACACTGCAATATTAAAACAAAAAATATATGCTGGCTGCTCTCATCTTTGCCAAGAAAATAACTAATCTTGCCAATGAAAAAACAGATGGAAAAAATAGTTGTATGTACCGGTTTACAAGAGCACATAAACCCATGTCTTTTTAAATGGGGTCCCACATATCCCAAGCTAGCCTCAAACTCATTATGTAGTGAGGGTGACTTTGAGCCTCTGTTCCAGCTACCTCCACCTCCCAAGTGCTGGGAATGCAATACCATAGAATCAAATTCAAGACTTGGGGCATGTTAGGCAAGCACTCTACCCACTCAGCTACATCCAGCCCTGGATCCAGTTATTTATCAAGCCATTGGCCAATAGGAAGAGACCTACGCAGATACGACATTATCAGTAGGCCCTGGGATTACACACACTCCTGGATACAAGTACATGCACAGGCATGCATGACTCTAAGCAATTTTAAAATGGGCAGAGTATCACAGAAACTCACTGCAATATTCATTTCTGCTGTCAGAATGTCTGAAATGCTGTTAGAAAACACAGAGCTGTTGACACACGTTACCTAAATTCTCTTTAAGTGCTAAGGATGAAACACAGAGCCCTAGGCAAACACTCCACCTGAGGTATAGCTTCCTTTTTCCCGGAGGCAGGAGATGAGAATGGGGGCTCAGCATACAAGGCACAGACTGGATGCCTACATTCCCAGTATGCTTTGTCTTATTTTTTAACTACAACAATACCTGAAAATCACGTTTCCTGCCCGATCCGCTTTCCAGGCTTTCACCAAAGCAAAATCTCCTGTGATTGCTTCCTCCAAAATATAGTGTTGACCGTTAAACTCCCTCACCTGCAGGAAACAAAGACTTGCTGTCATAGATTTGTGAGGGACGTGTGTGATTGTACTCCGTGCTGTGCTCTGAAGAGGCACACACTAGGAACATAAGCATGGCGAGATAGGATTTCTCACAAGACTTCCTCAGTAGCATAAAACTTTCTCGAAATAGTCCAGGGAGGCTTCAGGAAGAATGCGCATAGGTCCCACAAGTGCAAGTTTAGTTCATTTTAGGAACTAAACCTCCACAAGTGTAAGTAGTAAAGTGTGTCAGTATCCATTTGACTGTGTGCTTTGGTTACATTTGGGATATAGAATATAGCCCCTCTCTCCTTCTACCCACCCCCAAATAAAAATGTGTGCATTACATGAAATGGCTTATCTATTGTTTCTCATTAATCTGTGATCTATAATTACTGTTGAGATAATCGATGATCAGACAAAAAGTAAAATAATTGAAAAAGAACTAATGACCTCCCATCTGCATGGGCATGAAGCAGGCTTCTTTCTAATAACATCTTCGTTTACCTTCTTTGATACATTTTCTTCACATAAAATCTCAATGGTTTTTGCATTCACTCATATGAACTTCTTGCTTTCTTTGCCACTATGAATGTTGGTTTTAACTTATTGCACATCTTCAGTCATAACTGATATAACACAATGCTTTTGACTTTTTTTTAAATGTTTATTGCCTTTTGGGAGACAACATAAAACCAAACTCTCCTTTGCCATTATGTTCTTCCTATCTTTTCCCCTTGGAGATTTGCCTTTGGGAATTAAACAGAATCGAAACAACCCCACTGAGGGCTGGATTCCTCATGCACAAATGCAGCCCTGTGAAGGCAGAACTCCAATAGCGTTCCCACTGTGCCCTCTAGTGGAAAGCAGGCTGAATGCGTTTTCTAGAAGGATCCAGCACAAAGGTGGGCTTCAGTTACTTTTTGCTTTGCGTTGTTGGGAGGGTGCTTGGAATTGAACCTGAGGTCTCATGCGCATTACCATGTACTCTGTCACTGAGGACTGTTTCAACCTTTTTTGGAGGGTGGGGCATTTATTTATTTATTTATTATTTTTATTTTTCATGACAGGGTTTCTCTGTATGGTCCTGGCTGTCCAAGAACTTGATCTGTAGACCAAGCTGGCCTGGAACTCAGAGATCTACCTGCCTCTGTCTCCCTAGTGTTGGGATTAAAGGAATGTACAGCTACAACCAGTTCTAACTTTACTGTTAAGAATTTCAAACAGATTGCTTCTTAAAGGAAAGTTACCCCAGAGATATCCCAGTTTCTTGCTAGAAAATATGAGCTAGGAAAACCACTGATGAAGACTGCACTAATATGAAACTATATGAGGTTAGCTGCACATCAGCGTACAGTTATTTTAAAGGATTGTTTGTGTCTTTCAAGCCATCTCTGCGACGAGGCAAGTAGTGGCACATGCCTGTAATCCCAGCGCCTGAGAGGCAGAGGCAAGAGGACTACTCAGAGATCAAGAGAGGCCTGGCACACAGAGCTTCAAAACCCCAGAACACAACTTTCACAAAAGAAAGCAAACAAAAAAAAATCCACTGGTGATAACGCTTGAGATGTAGAAAACGCAAGTATTTTCTAATTATGCTTCCTAGTGTTGACTGTTCTAAACTTCAAAGAGGGAAGCAACTACCTTTACTAAGTTTACTACTGTGCTCATTTCAAATGGTGCATTTGGCCTCCATTTCGTCTTTAGGTTCTTCTTGAACCCATTTCCCATCAGATTTTGCCAGTGAACTCCATTTCTGAACACTACTCTTCAATTCTATTCCTTATCCTTCCTTTGACCCAGCTGCTCCTTCTTTTATCTTTCAAATCACTAGGCTTCCTTTTCATTTTCCCCTGTAGCTCTGTCTCCTGTGCCTGGCCATTAACTGCTAAAGAACCACTCTCTATCTGCACAGTGGCCAGGGACACTGCCTAGTCCTAAGGATTTGAATGCTCATACACCATGCCTCCTGTTCTGTAAATTTTCTGATCAGAGTCACCAAGTCCTTCCTCTTGAGACTCCTGAGCATCTTAAGAACACCTCTTCGCCAACAGACAGAGCTCTTTGATTGACCCATGTCTTGCCCGTCTCAGTAAGCAGCAATCTTGATTCCTGTCCTCCATGTCACAAGCTGTGGCTCCATCACCAACATCTGCCTTGATTCCAATCAGTTTGCACAAACTCCACTTTACCACCTTATCTCAGCCAAAGTCTGTTCCCACCAGGATCAATGCATGGCCTCCCACCCTCTCTAACATGGGCCCCTACAGAACAACAAAACCAGAAGCCTTCCCACTAACAGCCAGAGTGATCTTTGTAAGATGTAACTTAGAACACTCACACTCATAACCCTACTCAGATTCCCTAGCCAGTTCTTACCATACTGAGTGAACTCTAAGTGACAGACAGCAGGCAGACTAGAGACAGAGGACAGAGATCGAGGGAGGCAGAGATGGAGGGAGAGACAAACAGCTAAAGACAGAAAGATCAAAGGGAGATTGCGTTTTATTTAAAATTACCAGGCTTCAGGCAAGAATGAAAGGAGCCTAGCATTCCATATTCTCTTGGGGTATGCTAAAGTGACACTTTCTAACAAGTTATCAAACTGCTAACCCAATTTTCCGGGGTACTTATAATACTCTCCTAACCTTCATTTTCGTTAGGTTCCTGGTTATCAAGGAACATTTTAACCTAATCAGACACTGGGAAAGCGAGACCAAAAATAAGAAATACTGGAATAAAAGCTTGAATCAACACAGGTCACTCCCAGGGAGGAGGCAAGGCCCCAGATGGTCAGTAAGAGGCATGATCTCCGACCCGATGTCTCCCCAAAACAGCAACAGAACCAGCAGCACTACCGTCCTAGTACTGGGGTATCCCTTCATTGACCAGGTCACCTTCCTAGAGGTGTAGCCCAGCACTGACACAAACGCCACTAGCAATTATCCTCCATGAACCACAAGGACAATGAGAATGCAGAGACATTTCTTAGTTCAGAATAATGTATTGGCCTGCATGTTTTTTTTTTCAAATTACTTCCACTCTAACTGTGTCAAACACTCTAACTAGAGGTCTACTGCCATCTACTGCAAGTAAAGTTGCTCACTCTAAAGTGCCCCGTCCAGCCCTACAGTTTAAATAAGCACAGGCCAGTGAAAAGTGAAAAGCTTAGCCTATGTCTAAGATGCATAATTCGAAAGTGATTGTTTGAATGCTCTATTCCATTATATAATTATAACTGTGCCCCATTCTATAAGATTTCAGATAGATTTAAAATATCCTTTGTTATGCTCCTTGTTTTCTGTCATGTTAGGAAGAACCTGACCATACGACCTTAACACAATACACAGTAAACAACTTCTGTGGGGTTTTGTTTTGTTCCATTTTTAATGGAAGCATAATCATCAATGGTAAACGTTATCACTTTCATTAAAACCTTTCAGGAAGTCAGCTCACTAACTCTAACTATAGTAAAATGTATAGTGATTGTGGCTTTTTTTTCTTTTTTCTTTTCTTTTTGATTGTGACTTCTTTTATTCTAATCTATTCTAGTTTCCCTCTGTGATCTGTAAGTATGAACAGATACCCAGGTTTAGTTACAGGCCTCACCTTCTTGAAAATGAGTGACTGTTTATCTCACTGAGGTAACTATCAAATGAGTCCACAGTCTCATAGCGTCATGCAGGTGAGGAGTTTCTTACCTCTCGTGGCTTGCTGGCAATGGCGACGCTGCCATCTTTGTTGTATTTTATGGGTGATCCTCCTTCTTGTACTAGGGTCCCATACCCTGTGCTGGTGTAGAAGGCGGGGACTCCGGCGCCACCAGCACGGATCCTCTCTGCAAGTGTGCCCTACGAATAAGCAACCAGCATCTGTGAGACGTCTACAAAGTGCACTTGGGATGCGGAATACAGACACTGTGCAATCTTTGGAGGCTCAGCATCCTGCAAAGCATGCATCAATGTATGTGCTCGGAAATCCCCAAGCTGAAGCATCAATTAAAGACAGTAACTGTCCCATTCTCAATCCACGTTCAAATACATGTTCACTTGTCTAGTCATGCTTTCCATTTCCACGCTCCACCCTCACTGGTCTCTTCACATCGTATTCTACAAAAGTCTACTCTAGTATTTTGAAATCCAACTTAAAAATTAATTATGCAAATGTAGCTATTTGTATATCTTTAAGTGTTAAATGTTGTTTTACTGTATAACATGTGGAAGTGTAAACTCAATATTTTTATCATTGATAGCAATGGGTATGCCAGGCAGAGAGAAAAATATTTATAATTTTAACACCTGGGAGGCTGAGGCAAGAAGATTACCATGAGTTTGAGGTAGGCATGAGTCACCTATCAAGTACTAGGTCAACCAGAACTATGTAACTGTCTCAAAAAAAAGTTCCAATTTACTTTAAAATGTATTTTAAATCGCTTTCATGCATGTTTTATTTAAGAAATTATTCAAGCAAGGAAAATTCAAGCAAAGCTGGCATATGGGCAAACTAGTTTTGAAAAGCTGGGAACAGAAGAGCAAGACAGCTCACTAGGTATATGGATTTGCTACATGTGGTGGTCTGAATGAGAATGGCCCCCATAGGCTTAAGTACTTGAAGCTTCCCAGTAGGTGGAACTATTTAGGAAAGGACTAGGAGGTGTGGTCTTGTTGGAGGAGGTGTATAATTGAGGTCAGGCTCTGAGGTTTCAAAGGCCCAGCCATTCCCAATGAGCTCTCTCTGACTCCTTCTTGAGGATAAGGATGTAAGTTCTCACATACTGCTCTGCCACCATGTCTTCCTGTCTGCCTGCTGCCATGCTCCCTGCCATGATGGTCATAGACTCTGACCCTCTGCAAGGATGCACCCCAAATTAAACATTCTCTTTCTATACCTTTCCTTGACCCTAGTGTTTTGTCACAGCAACAGAAAAGTAACTAAGACAGCACAGGAGCCTAACAACCTGACTTCAACCCCCAGTGGAAGGAGAGAAACAACCCTTGAAAGTGTCCTCTGACCCCACTGGTGCACATGGCACGTACATGTCTACACACACACACATACACACATGCACGCACGCATGCATGCAATAATAATAATAATAATTTTAAATATATTTTTACAATTTCATAAAAAGACAGTTCTTTTACAACTTCAAGTGTTGTTTCACCATAGGAACAGATATAGGTAAAGGTTGTTTGTGTCTCCTTCTGATGGTCCTTCCTTCCTTCTCCCCCTCTCCCTCATACTGAAACCACCTCTGGGGTTCTACTACACCATGCTTACTAGACAGCCAATTAGCTAATCAGAAGTCAGAATCCGCATAGTTATCAACGATACTGTTTATACTATCCCAACCTGAGAACTCTGCAATAACTGGGATCTCTGAATGCTTAACAAAGAGACTAACAATCAGGATGAGCTTCCTGAGTGAATGGAATGCTCTGAAGAAAGGGGAACTTCATGAGCTATTTGAAGTCCTCAGCTAATTGCTCTCTGTTCTACCTAATAGACAAGTGACCCTATTTGCACTGTATTTTAAGCCAACAACATTCAAAAAATTAAATTACAAAAACAGTCATAATAACACCTCTCATTTTAAAATAGTTTTTGTTTGCCCTTCTCAAACACTCTCTCCATCTCTCTGCCCACTGACCAAAAACCTGAAAGGAGACTATATATGAAGACGAGACCCCTTCAGGTGTCACCTTCCCTACCCCAAAGAAGTGCCAGTCCCTACCACTTCAGCAGGGCTCCTCCCATTCCAGCTCTGAAGCTGCAAAGGAAGATGGGAGAGGAGGGTGTGCCACTTGGTTGAGGAAAGAAACACTAATTTCTTCTAGTTTAAAGAAAACATATTTAGCACGTATTCAGGCAATTCCTCTCCCATGTATGTGGCCTCTGACAAATAGAGATAATGCATAAGAGTAAAGGTTCATCTTCAATAACTACACAACCTAGATGATACAGTGCCTCAGCTAACAACGTGAAAGCTACAAGGGGTGGTCTGGACTGTGTGTCCCTTAAATATTGAAGTTGAAACATTAACCTTCAATGTGACAGGGATACAAGAGGATATTTAAGATGGAAATAACGTGTAAATATAGGCCCTGCTCAAGTAGGATCATTGTCGTTATAAGAAAAAGACAGTAGAGAGCTCACTTTGTTCATTTCTGAGCTGCAAGAGGACAAAGCAAGATATCAGCCATCAGAAGCCATGAAAAGACTCACTGGAACTGGACGGCTGGTGGATGTTGGGCTTTCCAGCTCTTTTAACTGTGAGAAACAAATTGCCATTGCTTGAGCTACCCAGTCTATGGAGGGATTTTAGTTTGTTGGTTTTTTGTTTTTTATAGAAGCCCAAGGAGAGTAGAAATGTATATATTTGTTCATTCACAAAACTTTAAATGAAAGTTGAGTCATACTGAATACAGCGTGGCACTTTAACAGGAATGGTAGTGCTGTAGGTAAAGAGGTGTGACAGTCCCCTATGCAGGCCTTCTCTAGACTAGCACATACCTGATCATTTTCTTTTGAAAAATTTGGCTCCATTCCACTCTTATCAACTTGGCAAAATTCTGAAGAAACATGACCCTGAGTCAGAGTGGAGAGCTCAGGCAGAGTGTGTCAAAGTGGAACCCTGACACAAGGGGCATATAGAGCCTTGCTTTTCCCAAAGGGCTTCAAAGGCCGCCTTCAATGGATTAGACTTGGAAAACAAGTACAGACTTGCTGCTGAGTTGCACAAATGGCTGGCTCTGTCATATTATCACTTCCCTAAAGCCCGGGCTCTGAGACCAGCGTTTCCTCTGTGAGCAGTGTCACCCTCCAACAGACTTCACTCTCATTGACATGAGTCAGTCAGATTTGATCATTCAGAAATTTCCAATACTGAGATTCATAAAAACTGACTTTGAGGACAATCTCAGACATTTCAGCAAGTCCTTTTGTTTGCTTTTGGCATGATGAACATTGTAGCGTCATATTAAAAATGTTATCCAGCAATGTGAATGTTTTCTACTTAGAAATACCTAACCTTCCCTAATCACAGGAAAATGTTAGTCCTCTAGAATCAACAGGAACCACCCAAACACAAAGTCCCTTGGTTTGACGAATTAGCATCTCTCTGTCTGGAACAACAACAAATACTAAAAAGGAAGAAAGGGCCTTTTCTGTAAAGTGGTGCTGTGAAACAAATCAGAGGCATTTCCTCACCTGAGGAGTCAGCTCCACTTCTAACTCGCCGGACAAGAACTGTCGCTCAAATTCTGCATTTTCTCCCACGTACGAAGAGACCATGCGTTTTATCTGTTTAGATCGAAGTAAAAGGCCCAGGCCAAAGTTGTCAACCCTAAACAGAAAAGGAGTTGATAATCATGAGATCATCTACAGAATAATGTTAGCACACATTTTGTTGTTATTGTTTTGTTTTTTCAAGACCTGAAACTTTAATAATTTGGAGGGAAAAAAATCTCTTCTGAAGAATTCTTTGGAAGGCAGAGGCAAGCAAATCTCTGTGAATTTGAGGCCAGCCTGGTCTACAAAGTGAGTTCCAGGACAGCTAGGGCTACACAGAGAAACCCTGTCTTGAAAAAAAATGGCACCCAAATTACACATAAGTCTAGGAACATTTTTCCTGTATCATAGACATTTTACTTAACAAATTTATATATTTGAATGTTCTTAATCCCCTCAAATAAAAGGATTTTGGGTAGCAAAATGAATCCTATTATCTGTTACAATAGACATATGTACATATATATACTGGTTTTAATAATTCATCTATTTAAAATGATGACTCAGTTTATTCACAGATATGATGCAAATACTATTGGGTTTTTCTAGATTAAAAACCTCCAGGTGCATACATTTCTTCATTTCAATCATATTTGCAAAGAAAATAATGTACCTGCATTTTAAAGCACAATACATAGATTAACTACTAAATGGAAGCTTGCCCCCTTTCTGTCGGCTTATCTCTCCCTCAAAGGTTTTGGAAGTTCTTTAACCAACTACAGAGAAACAACAAACTTTTTTTGAAAGTTGGTTTATCTGTCAGGGACAGTCTCACTACGTAATCTAAGATGGCCTTGAACTCAAGATCCTCCTGCCCCAGCTTTCCAAGTGATGGGATACAGGCCTGGCTTTATAAAACTATCCTTGTGTTGTTTTGTTGTTGTTGTTTGAGACAGGGTTTCTGTGTAGCCCTGGCTGTCCTGGAATGTGCTCTGTAAACCCAGCTGGCCTAGAACTCACAGAGATCTGCCTGCCTCTGCTTCTGAGTGCTAGGATTAATGTCCTGCACCACCACCACCCAGTTTATAAAACTACTTTTAAGGATGAAATATTTCTAGGGGTAGAGATAATAATGAGACAACACAATAAACACAAAGGAATGATTATATAATAAGAGAAAGCCAAGCCAATTGGCAAGCACATGAAACACCAGAATTCTCTTGTGTGCTAAGGTGAAAGTATACTTATCACTTTAGGGAGAGAAAAAGTAAAAAAGCTGTTAGCATAATCTATTAACGCTGAAAAACATCCAGGGGATGAGTCAGCAATTGCACTCCTGGATCTTCATCAAACAAGAACTAACATTTAATGTTCACAAAAAGATATATATAATATACTCATCAATAGCACTGTCCATTGTGACCAAAAAATTAATGCCTCTTGAATACCCATCCACAGAATAGGTACGTTATAGTTTATCTAAGCAATAAAATAAGATACAGCAATGAGACTGCATGATGGATAAATATTATCCATCATGGACAAATCTCAGACCAAATGCTGACTTAAAGAAGCTATACACAAAAGTGTACATGTTGAATTACTCCTTTTACAAGAGTTTCAGACTTTCACAGGACTGATGTATGAGGTCCAAAATGTAGATGGGGCAGGGAGACAAGAGTAGTAACTGGAGGTATTATGAAAGGAACTTTCTGGAGATCTGGTCCTGGCCCATGTCTTTGCAAGAATGTTGGCTACATGGCTGTGCAGCTTGTAAAATCCTATCTCTACATCTGTGTATGGTCAGTTTTCTACATCACTCTAGTATTATGTATCAATAGTTTTTTAACGATAAAACTTCAATACAAAAGACCCTGAAATCCTCTTAGATACAGGAGCCTGTGTTTCCTCCCAGCTAATCGCTTTCATGTTCTGATGGCTCCTCCCACAGACAGCTTGTGTTGTCTGCAAACTTCCGGCAATCCCATACTGATTGCTTACTCTACCCTAGAGATGGGATGTCAGATTCTGGGGCTACAGCCATGAGAAGGCCTGGCCCAGGGCCCTGTGTAGTTCTGAGAGTTCAGAGGAAATAAAGGGTAAGCCTGTAATTAACACAGAGGGATGTGCTAAGGGCTGTCTGTATAGTATGTGATGAGAATACAGAAGATCAAGGACCCGATTGTTGACAGAGAAAGAGGGAAGAGAGTCCAGACGAGGGGAAAAGGTGATACGGAAGGAGAAAATAGACGGGAGCAATAGGGAAACAGGAGTTTGAGAACACAGTAAAAGATGGAGATCCCAAGGCATCTTCCCAGAGCTCAGCGTGAACGGGATGTGCACTGGAGGCAGGAGTGGGAGGGGGGCCTGATCATGATCCTCCTCGACGGACTTCGTCCTAGGACAGGAGGTGCTCCCCTGAAAGGTGACAGGCTATACAATGCAGTCAGGAAGGAGTGTCAATTAAAAAGCTTGACAAGGTCCAAACAACGCTGAGTATCCGAACTAAAGTGGAGGCCACAGGAATGGAGAAGAGGGACATAAGTCAAGAGGCACTGAGGAGGTGGCGCATCCATAAGATGTGTTGCCCTGGTGTAGACACAGACCCCAGCAGAATGTTAGCTCTGACTATGGAACCTGCCTGGTGTAGACACAGACCCCAGCAGAGTGTTAGCTCTGACTATGGAACCTGCCTGGTGTAGACACAGACCCCAGCAGAATGTTAGCTCTGACTATGGAACCGGCCTGGTGTAGACACAGACCCCAGCAGAGTGTTAGCTCTGACTATGGAACCTGCCTGGTGTAGACACAGACCCCAGCAGAATGTTAGCTCTGACTATGGAACCGGCCTGGTGTAGACACAGACCCCAGCAGAATGTTAGCTCTGACTATGGAACCAGCCTGGTGTACACACAGACCCCAGCAGAATGTTAGCTCTGACTATGGAACCGGCCTGGTGTACACACAGACCCCAGCAGAATGTTAGCTCTGACTATGGAACCGGCCTGGTGTAGACACAGACCCCAGCAGAATGTTAGCTCTGACTATGGAACCTGCCTGGTGTACACACAGACGCCAGCAGAATGTTAGCTCTGACTATGGAACCTGCCTGGTGTAGACACAGACCCCAGCAGAATTTTAGCTCTGACTATGGAACCGGCCTGGTGTAGACACAGACCCCAGCAGAATTTTAGCTCTGACTATGGAACCGGCCTGGTGTAGACACAGACCCCAGCAGAATTTTAGCTCTGACTATGGAACCTGCCTGGTGTAGACACAGACCCCCTGCAGAATTTTAGCTCTGACTATGGAACCTGCCTGGTGTAGACACAGACCCCCTGCAGAATTTTAGCTCTGACTATGGAACCTACCAAAAGAGTGAGCTGGGGAAAATGTATCTCAACCACTAGAGACATCCCACAGGTTTTGACAAGCAAAGGTGTTAATGTGGCAGCCTGCCAGACATTGGTATTGCATGCCTTTTAATCCCAGCACTCTGGAGGCAGAGGCAAGTGGATCTCTGTGAGTTCGAGACCAGCCTGGTCTACAGAGTGGACTCTGCGAGTTCCAGGACAGCCTCCAAAACAATAAAGAGAAACCCTGTCTGGAAAAAAAAAAAAGTATGGCAGCCTATGTGACAAACCACTAGTATTTCTCTCAGCAATCACCTACCTACCTCCACTGACCCCAAGCTTACCAGAGCCCATTCCATCTCACATGGCTCCTTCCTTTCATCCCGCCTTCCCACAGCATCCTGTGCACCGTATCCCTCAAGGTGCATAGATAACAAGGAACTGCTAATCATTCAGTAATCTTTGCTTCCTAGCCACCAGAGACATACAAATATGTAAACTGTCTGTGTTTAGTATCTGTGGTGGTTTGAAGGAAAATGGCCCCCAAAGGAAGTGACACTATTAGGAGGTGTGGTTTTGTTAAAGTAGGTGTGGCCTTGTTGGAGGAAGTGTGTCTCTTTCGGGACAGACTTTGAGGTCTCTTTTGCTCAAGTTTCACTCAGTGTGACAATCAGTCTACTTCCTGCTGCCCACAAGACATAGGACTATCAGCTCCAGCACCGTGTCTACCTGTATGCTTCCATGCCCCGCCTTTAATGGACTAAGCCTCTGAAACTGGAAGCTGTCACCTCAATTAAATGTTTTCCTTTAGAAGAGTTGCCGTGGTCACGGTGTCTCTTCGGAGCAATAGGAACCCTAACTAAGTATCTTTTTTCCAAAAGAACATTGAAGGCTAAATAGCATGTACTTTTCCTGGTCAGTTTCCTTTAATGGGCCCCAATGAAGTCTGTGAATGAGATCACACACAAGATTGACTTCACCTAGCTTAGGACACAGAGGGAAGTTTGCAGGCCTGTGGCTTCTCATCTACCCAGTCTTCATTAAGTATAAAACACAATAAATGAACTACTGCCCAGATGGAATCCTGCTCTGAAAACTACTTCAAAGTTAAAGTAGTTAATAATATACTTGTCCACTAGAGGTCTCCAGATTACTCAAGATGCTGTTTTTCTAGTGAGGCATGCTTTCTAGTCCCCCGACACACACCTTTTCTTTCTCCTTCTTCCTCCTCTTTTCCCCAAACTCTTCCCATTTGTTTCTAACCTGCCCCCAGAACCCAGGCCCCACTTCAGGTTAGCCATTCTCCCCCAAACTCAGCTTCCCAGCATGCCTTATAGCAGTTCCCTCCTCAGAGACGGGCAGGACAAAAGTAGGGAAGTGGTCTTTCACTCTTCCCACCAAGCCTATCAGGACATCCTGACTCCAAGACTGTTTAAGGATCAAACCATCCCTCACTCCATCCCTGCACTCTCATTTCCTGGGCACCAGAGGACCCTCGTCAGTCTCTGCTTCTGCCCCTACAATGTGCCTTGAACATGGTAGCCAAATAACACCTTATAAAACATAGACGTGGAACAGGGCTCCGCTATGCTCAAAGCCTTGCAGGGGCTCTACTTATTCAGAACAAAGCAAAGAGCTCTAGAGCAGCCTGCAAGGCCCACCATTTGCATGCCTCTTATGTCTCTGGCCTCATTCCTTCTGGGCTCTTTGCTCACTTCTCTGCCTCCCCTAGCCGTGCCAGGAATGTTTCCCTAAGGGACTT